TATTTTTTAAAGATTTTATTTATTTATTTGACAGAGAGAGACACAGCGAGAGAGGGAACACAAGCAGGGGGAGTGGGAGAGGGAGAAGCAGGCCTCCTGCTGAGCAGGGAGCGGGATGCGGGGCTCGATCCCAGGACTCCGGGATCATGACCTGAGCCGAAGGCAGACGCCCAACGACTGAGCCACCCAGGTGCTGACTGGTGTCTTTATAAGAAAGGATATATGCATGCACGCGTGCACACACACACAGAGAGAGAAAGGAAGATGGCCCTGCAAAGACAGAGGCAGAACTTGGAGTGATGTCTCTGCAAGCCAAGGGACTCCAAGGATTGCTGGCCACCACCCAGAGCTAGGAAGAGCAAGAAGGGATGCTTCCTTAGAGCCGTTGGAGCATGGCCCAGTCGACATCTTCATTTCCTACTTCTGGCCTCCCCAACTGTGAGAGAATGCATTTCTGTGGTTTAAGATCCGACCCCCCGCCCCAGGTTGTGGCACTTTGTTCCAGCAATCACAGGAAACATATACATGCTCAGGGTCACTGGGGAGACAGCATCCGTGCTGACCCCAGAGTGTTCCCCACGGATTTTTACTCGTTAATGGTTTTTACATGCAAAGCGTTACGGATGAGGGCACATCATCCACACGTTCGTCTTTACTCAGTGCCGACGACGGTCAGGGAACATCCTAGCTCCCTGAAAATCCTGCCGCTGAGGACAGCGAGAGAACAAAACAAAACAAACAAAAAAGACATAAAGAAAAAAGAAAAAGACACAGTAGGTCGGACAGTGCATCGAGGTACGGAGAAAAATACAAGATAAGGGGTGAGTTTGGGGTGGGTGTGGACGGCAGGGAGGAGGTGATGCCCTTGGCTGCGGGGTGGTCGACACGTGGTTCTCGCACATTTGCGGGCACGGGGACGCAAATGCCAAGGCCTGCAGGCAGGAGAGTGCTAGGCCGGCAAGGGGAGACCAGTGTGGCTGGAAAGGAGCAGGCAGGGAGCAGAGGAGGGGGAGCCCAGGTCAGAGAGGCAGCTGTGGCGGACTGGGCCCTCCAGGGCTCACCCCGCGCCCTAGCAGGGCCCCAGGCAGCGGCGCCGCACCCAACATGGCGGCGGCGCAGGGCACGCCGGCTGGCGAGCGGAAGTGCGTACGGCAGGCGCCGGAAGTGGCCGGAGGCCCCGCCCCCTACCGGGGTGTCTGTGGAGCCGTGGACGCGCCGGCTTTGAGCATCCCTGGCGGGCCAGGGGGAGGCCCTGGGGCTGCGGCTTCCGCGGCCGCGGCCCCGCCCGCTTTCGGCATGGCCAGCTCCGGAGAGGTACGGCCGGCGCCTCTCTCCGCTCTCCTTCCTGCCCCGCGGCCTTGGCTCCGCTCGGGCCTTCCCATCCCGCCTCGGTCGCCTTTGCGTCCTTTCCATCCAGCCCCCTAACCCGCTGCATCCTTCCCGTCCCGACCACGGCCCGGCTCTGTGCTTCCCACCCTGACCTCGACCCCTACCCCGGTCGCGCTTGGCCCTTTCCACCCCAACCCTGGCGTCGGCCGGGTTTGGTCCTTCCTGCCCCGACCCTGGCCTCGGCCTCGCCTGGTCGTTCCCATCCCTATCCCGACCTTGCCCCTTGCCCCATCCTTGCCTCGTCCCGCCCCTCAGGCCCTCACCCTGTTGCGAAGGCACAAGCTCTCTCCCCGTGGGTTTTCCATCCCTTTCCCAGCCCCGCAGTCGTGATCGCCAAAGTTCTTCCCCGCCTCTGCGCCCCCAGAGTTTCCATGCTCCTGAAGTCCTCTCAGGCCCTTTTCCCACGCCCCTGTACCTGAGCTCAGCCCTTGGAGCCATGAGACGTTCGTCTTTCATGTCCACTCTGCACCTCATCCTCTATCTCTGAATGCTCAGTTTCAGCCCACTTTTCTCTGCGCCTGCTTGTTGTGTGACTTGGGGGGTAATGGAGGAAAAGCCATTTTACCTGGGAGACTTCTGGCTTACCCCGGAATTCCTTTCCCCAGTGCTCCACAAGTCTGGGTTTGAGTCCCTGTAATGTGGTATAAGGTATTTTATCTGCAGACCAGGGTATGGGGATCTGGACTCTGACTAGTGTCTTTCCATCTGTTGCTTCCTGCCTATGTGTGTGTACTTGTGGGCACATGTTGTCTATTTATCATCTGGGACTTGGACCTTTGAGTGCACTGTCTTAGGGTCTTACCTGTGCTCTGGGGAACAGGAGTCAGAGGTTCAGGTGTTTTCTTCGAAACGGATGGGGTGGGGTTGCTGACAATTCCTCTTCTTTTGAGGTGAGTTTGGCTTAGAGGTGGCACCCCGATTGAGGGGTAGGGTGTGGGATACACCTGCAGACTGGTGGTAGGATTGAAGGGCCAGAAAGCCACAGCTCTTTAAGGAATAGTTATGGAGTCGCCTAGCTGTGTTAGCAGATTCCAGGTAGTTGTGTGTACTTGCTGGAGTTGGGAGGCTGGTACCTTGGTCTTATGGGGTCCTAGTACAAAGGGCCCTCTGTTCCTTGAAGCACATATGAGTGACCTGGCCAGTGAAGCCTCTTGTTACTTCGTGGACGTCTCGTTCTACTCTGCATGTGGAGATCAAGGTCCCCTCTGGGATGTTCTATTTATTACCTATTTTTTTTTTTAAAGATTTTATTTATTTATTTGAGACAGAGAGAATGAGAGACAGAGAGCATGAGAGGGAGGAGGGTCAGAGGGAGAAGGAGACTCCCTGCCGAGCAGGGAGCCCGATGCGGGACTCGATCCCGGGACTCCAGGATCATGACCCGAGCCGAAGGCAGTCGCTTAACCAACTGAGCCACCCAGGCGCCCTATTTATTACCTATTGATACATAGTTTGCACAGCATAAAATTCACAGTTTTAAAGTGTGTGTGTGTTTAAAGTAAGCTTTATGCCTAACATGGGGCTTGAACTCACAACCCTGAGATCTAGAGTTGCATGCTCCATCGACTGGCCAGCCAGGTGCCCCAAAGCAGTTTTTTTTTTTTTTTAAGATTTTATTTATTTATTTGACAGAGAGAGACAGCCAGAGAGAGAACACAAGCAGGGTAAGTGGGAGAGAGAGAAGCAGGCTTCTCGCCGAGAAGGTAGCCCGATGTGGGGCTCGATCCCAGGACCCTGGGATCATGACCTGAGCCGAAGGCAGACGCTTAACGACTGAGCCACCCAGGCGCCCCATCCCCAAAGCAGTTTTAAAAAAATATATTCACAAGGTTGTGCAACTCTCCCCACTGTAGGATTCCAGAATGAGGTGGTCTGATTTTGAAAGTCATTACCAGCTTTAAAATGTAGATTCCCAGATTACTCCCAGAGTTTCTGGGAGTAGGGGTCTACGTTTCTTGTAATGCTTCAAATGATTCTGAAGTGGTGATCTGTTGACTCACCTGGTTCTGTGCTGCTTTCTCTTGGAAATGAAAAATAGATCCCTGTTCCGGAGCCGTTCTTGGCCTAGTGAGGAGATAAGCAAGCAGGCAAACCGGGGCAATTCATCAGATGAGGCTGGAAGGAGAGGAGGATCCCTGGTACCGCAGGGGAGGGGCAGGACCCGCCTGGCTGATGCTGGGAGGGCTTCACTGTGTTTGAGGCTTTGAGCCCAAGTTCTGAAAGTAGCAGTTTTCCTGTGTGGTGGCATGTCTAGTGGAGGGAACAGCTTATGGGAAAGCTTGGAGGCATGGCGCAGGGCACATTCCAGAAATTGCCAACTAGAGAAGCAGGGACCTAGGAAGCGGGACAGAGTGTAGAGTGGAAACCCATACAATCGTGCACCTCTTCTGACTGACCCTGTGATTTAACAGTTTTTATAATGCAAAATATGCTATATATAACAATTTCACATCGTGACAGTGCACTGTGATGAGCCTTTCTGTTGTACCCACTGCCCCGTTATTTATTTATTTATTTATTAATTAAAGATTTTATTTATTTATTTGACAGAGAAAGAGAGAACACAAATAGGCAGAGTGGCAGGCAGAGGGAGAGGCAGGCTCTCTGCCGAGCAGGGAGCCAGACGCGGGGCCCGATCCCAGGACCCCAGGATCATGACCTGAGCCGAAGGCAGCCTCTCAACCAACTGAGCCACCCAGGCGCCTCTGCCCCATTATTTAAAGAATTTTTTTTTCCATTTAGTGTTTATTCTTTTTTGTTTTTTTAAGTAAGCTTTATGCCAAACGTGGGGCTTGAACTTAGAACCCTGACATCGACATGCTCCACTGACTGAGCCAGCCAGGCGCCACCCCCCGACCAATGCCCTGTTTTCATAGTTAACACGTGAGCAATCTCGTTTCATCTCTGTCTCTCCCTTTGGCTTATTTACATCAGTCCAGACATCTCATCAGTTGGTTTGTGAATCCTGTGATTTCTTTGGGTACCTGACTGGTAAACATCTGGGAGGGGGGATGTTTTTTGGGCAGGTACTGAAGTTTCAGTACTTAATTTTTCTTTTCTTTTTCTTCCTTTCTTTTTTTTTTGCTTCAATTCTTAAAAAAAATTGTGAAATGTTACATTCTGAGAAGTGCATTAAACTCTTTTTAACCCTTACACTTCAAACCAACTATAAGCGGTCATCATCTGGTTCTAGCCATATGGTTCCCAGATGCACCTGAGAGACCCCCGTCTGTCCTCATCCCTGGATTGATTTTCCGCAGACCACACGGGATGCCTGTCCAGGACCTGTCAGGAAGCCCCAGCAGCCCTTTTCTTGTGGAGGGAAGAGCAGTTTCAGCTGATCAGGCCCAGCCTGAGTCTGATGTCAGGCTACTTACCCTTTTATTTTTCTTTAAGTAAGCTCTCCGCCCACTGTGGGGCTTGAACTCACGACCCCAAGATCGATAGTCACCTGCTCTACTGACTGAGTCAGCCAGGCGCCCCTTACCTAACGGTTTTGAGATGGAGAATGAGTCTGCCTTAGTTTCCCCGAGGCCGAGAACACATCGTTCTGAGAGGCGGAGGGAAGCAGATGCCATATACGGGTGTGTGTGGAGGTGGGAATTCTCCGGGCCACAGTTTTGTTTCACTCCTTTCCCAGGGAGCACTCCTTGTTTGCTGTTGGCCTCTGCGGAGCTTCTGCCTTTCCTAGGGAAAAGGTGTGTGTGTGGACTTAGAAACCACAGGACGTTGGCTTGGAAAGTCTGGGTTCCAGGCAAGAGACTTGACTATTGCAAACCCGGCAGCCACCTCCCAGGATCGGCCTTTGGAGACCAGGGGGACCCAGCTGCTCCCAAGTGCCTGCAGGGGGCTGGCCTCAGGGCAGCATTTAGGAGCACAGAATGTGGGGAAAGTCATCTTGTGGGGTGTGCTGAGACTGGACAGAGGGGGCTGGAACTGAGTTCCTGCCTTTTTTTTTTTCTTTCTTCTTAATGTAACTTCTAGGTGGTTTTAATGGTATCTTTTTTTTTTTTTTTTTTTAATGTGAGCTCCATGCCCAATGTGGAGCTCGAACTCACAGCCCTGAGATCAGGAGTCACATGCTCTACTGTCTGAGCCAGCCAGGTGCCTCTGTAACTTCTGGGTGGTTTTAAGAGAAATTCAGTATTAGTAGTATAGTGTGGACATTATATGATGCTGGAGCTTCTTACACTGTTTTGCCCTGTGTTCTCATTGCTCCCAGAAGGCATTCTTACTTTGATAAATCTGCACATAGGGGGTGAGGAGGGGTTTGTCTCAGGCTGCTCAGCGGATTCAAGCCATTCCTCGCTCTTGCCCCTAGGCCCTCTCCCTGCCAGAGCCCTGTTGCCAACCTTGCCTGATAAGGATCCCTCTGTTTGAGCCTCTCCCTGCAGACCGAGTCCCTAGGTCTGGGCTAGGGTCTGGGAACCTGATCCCCACGACTGGCTCTGGGAAGCACTGAGCTAAGTAAAGTCACTAATGGTTGAGAACACTAGCCCCTTGGACTTGGGTGCCCTCGCAGACCTTGGGAGTAGCGAGACAGGACTGAAGGCACCTCAGATGGAAAGGGGAGCAGTGAGGGCACATCTGGCTGCTGCCTCTTACGGAGGAGGGAACGTGGGAAGGACCAATGCTGTTACCTAGGTGGGAAATATTTGTTGAGACCCTTTCCCAGGCCTGGGGAGGGCTTGGCAGGCTGTGGAGCTTGTCAGGACCGAGTAGAGGGGCGCCACAGTCCGAGTGCCCGGGAAACCCCTGGAGGCTGCGTGGGGCTTGTGCCCGGCTCTCGCGCCCCGGGGTTCATGGTTGCCATGGCAGCAGCAGGGCTTTCCAGGCCCCGGCGCTTCCATCCCTGCAAATATGTGCAGAAGAAAAGTCAGGCCGGAGGAGGAGGAGGGCTTGCAGACAGAATCTCTGGAAACGGCAGGGGAAATAATCCTGGGTGCTCTCTCCTGGGAGCAGTCATACAGGCACCCCCTCAGTGAGGACGGTTTGGGGGGGCCTGGATCCCTCCTGGGGAGTGCTGGGAAGATACAGGGATCCCTCCCCACCACGGAGAGCCTGCAGTTCCTTTGTCCTTGATTTGGGGATTTCATGTCCCACCAACCTGGGTTGAACCCCTCTCCCTCTCAGTTGTACACATCAACCAGGAATGGTGGAAGGCCCAGGTTAGGGAAGAAAACCTTTTGCAGATAGCTGCTGGAACAAACTGAAATGTGTGGACATCTTGCGGGAGGTACAACGCGAGTTCCTAGCCAGAAAGTGTGATAAGGCAGGGTGGCTCCCTGTTAGCTAGTAGTACTGATCTTAATGTCATGAGTAGATGCTGTTTCTTTTTTTTTTTTTTTTAAGATTTTATTTATTTATATGATAGAGAGACAGTGAGAGAGGGAACACAAGCAGGGGGAGTGGGAGAGGGAGAAGCAGGCCCCCCGCCGAGCAGGGAGCCCGATGCGGGGCTCGATCCCAGGACCCTGGGATCATGACCGGAGCCGAAGGCAGACGCCCAATGACTGAGCCACCCAGGCGCCCCTAGGTGCTGTTTCTTATTCATAAGGACTTGATAGTTTCATTCTTCTGGCTTTTCTTGCCCTTAATCCCAGTGCTGGGACTAGCTGCCCCCGGCCACTGGCTGAGGGCTTGATATCCATCACAGCAACCCTGAGAGGTAAAGTCACTGTTGTTAGCCCCAGTTCTTACTGTTTCTTGATAGAATTCTCCCACCCAAGTGTTTTAAGAATCCAGTATGACGTTGGGACAGTGGGAGAATAGCAGCTTTCACAAGCGGACAGCCCTGGCCAGTGGTCCTAAGTTGAGTCTGAAACATGCCAGACTTGATAGGAGACCTTTAGTAGGAAAAAATCCCTTAAATTTGGAAAAGAATTGAAGTTTCATTTTGAATCTCTTACTTTTGGCGAGAGATCCTAGTGTGCAGATCTAAAAGGGGCTTTTGAAGAGTATCATGGCTTCTTGCTCTGCAGTTAAGATTTTTGGTAAAAGCACCTTCTTTCCCACAGACTATGGCGAGGGCTGCTCTTGGCACCTGTCCTTGGTTGAGGAGGCCAGGATGAAGGCCACCCTTGGGGATCCCATGGGAATTCGGTGTTGCCCTTATTTTCAGGACACATCCAACGATGACGACATGCCCCCTGCAGCAGCCGCCATGGCGGTGGGCGCCCACCTTCTCGGCTTCTCGGATGAGATCCTGCTGCACATCCTGAGCCACGTCCCCAGCACAGACCTGGTTCTGAACGTCCGGCGCACCTGCCGGAAGCTCGCGGTGCTGTGCCTGGACAAGAGCCTCACCCACACCGTGCTGCTGCAGAAGGACTATGAGGTGAGGCAGGGGTTGCAGGGGTGGGACAGCCCACATGCCCACCTGAGGACTAGCATAGCTGGGCAGTGGGGCGCTGTGTGGCTGGTGACAAAGGGGGCGGGCGCTCAGAGTCCTGACTGGCTCAACCTCTGAGACACATGAGGTGATGAAAGCTAGAGGCCGAGAGTTGCGGGTAGCGGGCCACCCAGTCGGGGGGCATCCGGCAGATGCCCAGGAGTGGGTTCTGGAACTTTCTCGGTGGTGTGGGGAGGCACCATCTTACCCTCCAGCAGCTGTGTGTGGGCCTTCAGCTGCCTTGCACCCTCCTGGCCGGGCTTCTAAGTGTCCGTTCTTCTGATGGGTGGGACAGATGTTGCCTTGTGCTTTTACCTGGCCTGGGTAGGGTGCTGGGGTGTCCACAGTGCTGTTTCCATCCAGGGCTGGGCTGTTCCTATATCCTCTTTCCAGAAGCCACTGTGTAGGACTTTTTCTTGTGGACTTCTGGGAGTTCTCTTGTACTCTGGATCCTTTTTCAGATACCCGTATTGTGAGTATTTTCTCTCAGAGTCCGTGGTTTGCCTTCTGTTTTTTTTTTTTTTTTTTTAACAGTATCTTTTGAAGAGAATAAGTGTTTAAGTTGAAGTGCAATTTATTGATATTTTTCGAGCTCATATTTTTTGTAATCTGTTGAAGAAAACTGTTAGACCTGAGGTTGTGAAGATTTTCTGCTACGTTGTCTCATAGAAGCTTTATAGCTTTAGCTCTTACGGTAAGTGTGCGATCCCTGTTGTGTTAATCTCTATATGTGGTGTGAGGTAAGGATCAAGGGTTCCTTTCTTTGCATACGGCTCTTCAGTTGTTCCAACATCACTTATGGACACGGTTGTCCTTTCCTCAGTAAGTGCCTTGCAAGTTTTTTAATTTTGTTTTTACATTTTAATTCCAGTACAGTTTTTTTTTTTTTTTTTATTCTTATGTTAATTCCCATACATTACATCATTAGTTCCAGATAATTAATTCCAGTACAGTTAACATACAGTGCTATATTAGCTTCAGGTGTACATCACCTGGTGCTCACCACGAGTGCACTCCTCAGTCCCCCCGCCTCCCCTCTGGTCACCATCACTTTGTTCTCTGTAGTTAAGTCTGTTTCTTGATTTGTCTCTCTCTCTTTTTCCCTTCGCTCTTTCGTTTCTTAAATTCACATATGAGTGAAATCATACAGTATTTGTCTTGCTTGGACTTACTTCACTTAACATTAAGCTCTCTAGCTCCATCCATGTTGTTGCAAATGGCAAGGTTTTATTCCTTTTTATGGTTGCCTTGCAACTTTTGTTGAAAGTCAGTTGACGACATATCTTAAAGATAACAATAGAGGTCTTGACTGGAACCCAAATTTTAGGAGACTGTGGGAGGGGTTCCTAACTGTTGTCACTGGCTGTGAAGCTATGCATTTGAACCCTGAGTGAGGCCCCTCCAGAGCTTGGTTCTCTCTGTGAGAGCATGCTGTGCTCCTCTCTGCTGGGAGAGTGTGGGTGTGCGGGGAGGCTGAGCTGACTCCCCAGAGCCAAGGTCAGGCTTCCTGCCCGGGAGAGTTCTTTCCTGGAGAGGGAGGGGCAGGTGCCCCCAGCGCAATGTCGCAGCACCGTGTATCTGGAGCATTGGAGATGCTCGTGTCCTGCGCGCGTCTACCTGAGAGAAGTGATCGGGATGCACGCACACCACGCGCGCGGGCGCTCCAGGCAGTGTTGCTGCTGAAGGCCTCCTTGGCAGCGGCCAGGACGTCCTGCTGTTGGCCCCCGGGTTCCCTCACTAGACGTACCGTGGCTCACCTGAGCAGTCCACGGTAGGTGTTGGAGGAATACTTAAGATGTGAAAATGCAGATGATGTAAAGGATCAAGTTTTCAGGGCACGATTCCATCATGTGATTCGGAAAACCCCAAGTCAACATAACACGTACCATCCTGGCCATTTTTAAGTGCGTGTTGCTGTATGTTACGCGGTGCATCCATTTGTGGTGATGTGCAGAGCTTTTCCATCACCCCGAACAGAAACTCTGGATCCTGTGAGCAGTGACTCCCTGTTCACCTCCCCCCAGCCCCTGGTAACCTCTGTTCTGCATTCTGCTAGTGAATTCGCCTCTTCTGGGTAATTCGTGTAAGTGGAATCACACAACATGAGATCTTTTAGGACTGGCTTCTTTTCCCTTGGGTGACGTCCTCAAGGTTCACCCACGTTGTGGCGTGTGTCAGAGCTTTGCTCCTTTCCGTGGCTACATAGTCTTTCCTTGTATGTGCAGACTGTGTTGGTTCTGTCTGTCGGTGGGCGTTGGGTTGTTTCCGTCTCCTGGGACTAGTGCTGCTGTGAACATCGGGGAGCAGGGAGTGAGTCCCTGTTTTTCCCGTTCCCTCAGGTGCATGCCTAGCAGGGGAATTGCCGGGTCACATGGTCACTCTGTGTTTAGCTTTTTGAGGAACCAGCACACTTTTCCACACCAGCTGCACCGTTTTTACATTCCCGCCTAACTGGGGCCTCTTGACCGTTGGCCTGTGGTAGGTGAGCGTGTGGGAGGGGGAGGAGGGGCCAGCTCTCCCCTCCAGTGTCTCCCCTCCGCTGGACTGGTAAGGCCCTGAGTGTCGTGGGGGAGGGCGCGACCTGAGTGGTAAAGGCGAAGGAGTCGCCTGGGTGTCTTCAGCCCCTTTTCTTCCTTGACCACCCCGCCCCCCATTCTTGGCCTTTCCTGCAGGCGAGCGAGGACAAAGTGAAGCAGCTGGTGAAGGAGATCGGCCGGGAGATCCAGCAGCTCAACATGGCCGGCTGCTACTGGTTGTCGGGTGCCACTATCGAGCACGTGGCCCGCTGCCGCAGCCTGGTCAAGGTGAACCTCTCGGGCTGCCACCTGACCTCCCTGCGCCTCTCCAAGATGCTCTCGGCCCTGCAGCACCTGCGCTCCTTGGCCATCGACGTGAGCCCCGGCTTCGATGCCGGCCAGCTGAGCGGCGAGTGCAAGGCCACGCTGAGCCGCGTGCGGGAGCTCAAGCAGACGCTGTACACGCCCTCCTATGGCGTCGTGCCCTGCTGCACCAGCCTGGAGAAGCTGCTGCTCTACTTCGAGATCCTGGACCGCACGCGCGAGGGCGCCATCCTCTCGGGCCAGCTGATGGTGGGCCAGAGCAACGTGCCCCACTACCAGAACCTGCGGGTCTTCTATGCGCGCCTGGCCCCAGGCTACATCAATCAGGAGGTGGTGCGGCTCTACCTGGCCGTGCTCAGCGACCGCACGCCCGAGAACCTCCATGCCTTCCTCATCTCTGTGCCTGGCAGCTTCGCCGAGAGCGGGGCCACCAAGAACCTCCTGGATTCCATGGCCCGCAACGTCGCGCTGGACGCCCTGCAGCTGCCCAAGTCCTGGCTCAACGGCTCGTCCCTGCTCCAGCACATGAAGTTCAACAACCCGTTTTACTTCAGCTTCAGCCGCTGCACGCTGTCCGGCGGCCACCTGATCCAGCGGGTCATCAACGGCGGGAAGGAGCTCCGCAGCCTGGCGAGCCTGAACCTCAGCGGCTGTGTCCACTGCCTGTCCCCGGACTCCCTGCTCCGCAAGGCGGAGGACGATATCGACAGCGGCATCCTGGAGACGCTGGTGGCGTCCTGCCGTAACCTGCGCCACCTCAACCTCTCGGCCGCCCACCACCACAGCTCCGAGGGCCCGGGCCGCCACCTCTGCCAGCTGCTGGCCCGGCTGCGCCACCTGCGCTCCCTGTCCCTGCCCGTCTGCTCCGTGGCCGACTCGGCGCCGCGGGCCGACCGCGCGCCCGCCCAGCCCGCCATGCACGCCGTGCCCCGCGGCTTTGGCAAGAAGGTGCGCATCGGTGTGCAGTCCTGCCCCAACCCCTTCTCGGGGCAGGCGGGCCCTCAGCCTTCCTCCGTGTTCTGGTCTCTGCTGAAGGACGTGCCCTTTCTGGAGCGCCTCGAGCTGATCGGGTCCAACTTCTCCTCCGCCATGCCGCGCAACGAGCCCGCCATCCGCAACTCCCTCCCGCCCTGCAGCCGGGCGCAGAACGTCGGGGACTCAGAGGTGGCCGCCATCGGGCAGCTGGCGTTCCTGAGGCACCTGACGCTGGCCCAGCTGCCCAGCATCCTGACGGGCTCCGGGCTGGTCAGCATCGGCCTGCAGTGCCAGCAGCTGCAGTCGCTCTCGCTGGCCAACCTGGGCATGATGGGGAAGGTGGTCTACATGTCCGCCCTCTCGGACATGCTGAAGCACTGCAAGCGGCTGAAAGACCTCAGGTGAGGGGGCTCTGGCAGCCCCTCTGCGGCCTCGGCGGGCCCCTTGGAGGCGTGAAAGGCGCGGGGGGGACGTGGGTAGCACGGCCTCTCATTCGGCAAATGTTTGCGCACCTACTGCCCGTCTGCCGAGATGGGCTGAACGAGGGGCGGGCTGGCCTCCAGTGGCTGAGAGTCTGGGTGGGGCCGACAGGGGCCCCGCAGGCGGTGACCGGACAGGGGGGCAGCAGTGGGCGGAGTCCAGGGAGGCAGGCGGGAGGCAGGGATGCGCTCGAAGATGCTACTGCGCGCGGTCTTGCTCCGTCCTCCTGACGGCCCCGCGAGGTGGCTATTTTTGCTCCCATGCAACAGCTGGTAAGCGGGGCAGCCGGGAGCTGAACTCGGGGCTTTCTGTCCGACTTTGTGCATTGTCGGAGCTACGAGTCCGTGAGCTGGGAGACTCGAGGCCGAGGCTTGCTGGGAAAGCAAGGCAGCATGTGCTGCAGCCCCCGGGGTCTTGCAAAAACGCATGTGTCCCAAAGCACAGGCGAGGTGGGGCGGGGAACCAGGTGGGGTGAAAGGACTTCGGCCGGTGCAGGGGGGCGGGCCGATTTCTGGTTGGGAGAGGCCCCCCCCCCACCGGCGCCCCACCTGGACAGGAGGGGCTGGGACGGAGGAGCTGGAGAGGGCCACCGAAGCGGGGGCCGCACGTGGTTGGGAGATGACGGTGGCCTGGGGCAGGAGGCAGGCTGGTCGGAGAGAGTGAGGGCAGAACCCACCAGGCCCTTGTCACAGGGGCCCAGACGCGGAGTGGACTCTACCGAATCGAGCTGTGGAGTGATGGGGGGCTCTCGTAAGGACCCAGCGTTTAAAGGGGAAGAGCCTCTGTTGACTCGAGACGTGTTTGAAAATCGTGACAGATCTGATCTTGCAAAATTGCACTGTTTCCTAGAAACTACTGGAAAGGTATGGCGGCAGCGGACCCCAGCTCTCGCCTCAGGTTGGGGAGGAAGTGGCGGCGGAGTGTGGATCTGTTAGCTGATCTCTCCGTCGGGCTGGAGCTGAGGGGTGGACGGCTGGGTGGGGGCGGCGCCAGGGGCCCTGAGACAAAGTGTCATTGTCCGCTCGACGGTCCGCGCACACTTTGTGCCTTTGGTGAGGCCAGGTGCTCAGCCAGGGGCTTCTGGGCACTGTCTGGTTTAATCCCCGGGACAGCCCTCCGTTGTTCCCATTTCACAGACGAGCCAGTGGAAGCTTGAGGGAGGAGTTGAGGTTCACCCAGCTCAGTCTCACTCCAGAGCTTGACCTTGGCCCCGGAGCCGTGCAAAATGGAGACTTCTGTGTCCTTTGCTGACCTCCACTCTCCCCTCAGAAGGTGTCATGTGACAGGAAATGGGCCAGATTTGCATTGGAGCTGGCAGGGGCTTTGCGGCTCACACCACGGAGCCTTGCGGCTCACACCACGGAGCCTTGCACAGCTCCGCCGCAGACTGCCTCCGCTTCCCCTCCAAGCGCAGTACGGACACTGAGGCTCCCTGAGGCCCTGCTCATCGGGGGCTGAGAGGCCCAGGGCCCAACCCCAGCCTTCCACGTGGCAGAGCAGGTGTTTTCCTGCCATGTTGGATTCACACGCCCTGGATTCGCAGCTTGGGTCCTCAGCCCGAGTGTCCTCAGCCCGAGTGTCCTCAGAGCCCCGTATTTGGGAGTTGTTTATGCTGTGTCCTGCGTGTTCCAGTTACACTTGCTTTGAGAACCTGCTTTGAGCCAAAGTTAACTTCATTCGAGTTTTATTGTCCAGTGTCTGTGAGACCCTGTAGCCACGTGCAGAGCTGCGGGTGCTGGGCTCTGGCTGTGCCTCCCCAGATGCTTCCGGAGCTTGCCCAGGGGTCGTACAGGAGGTCGCGAGAGGGTTAAGGGCGTGCGATGGGCAGAGTTGCTGTTCCCGTTGCAGGGCCTTTGGGACCCTCTGTCCTGCTCCAGGTGGGCCCGGCACTCCTGGCCACTGGCTTCCCAGGGCTCGCGGGAGTAAGGACTGCAGGCCTGCTCTTTGCTTCTTGACGCCCCCCCCCCATGTTCCTTTTGCTGCCCACCTCTGCCTCATGGCCCTCATCGAGTCCTCTGTGTTACTTTCTCCGACTTGGGCACTTCTGCTGGGGTCGGGTGGAGGAGAGGCCCTGACCGCAGCAGCCAGCCCCCTCCACCACCCCCTGCACGGGATGGGCCATTCTGACTTCTGAGGTGCCCACGCTTGCCTTCTTGCCTGTTTGTTTGTGACACCAGGAATCCGCGTCCTCTCTGTTCACTGGTTCTTTCTGTCCAGCACCTTGTCCCTCCTTGCTTCTTCCTGTGCCTTTGCTATCATGTCACTGGCCTTTCTGGAAGAAGTGGTGGTAAGTGCATGGTCAGGAGGCCACATGTCACTGGAAGGTGCAAACGGATCCCTACATTTTTTTTTTTTTTTAATTTTTATTTATTTATTTGAGAGAGAGAGAATGAGAGACAGAGAGCACGAGAGGGAAGAGGGAAGAGGGCAGAGGGGGAAGCAGACCCCCCGCTGAGCAGGGAACCCGATGCGGGACTCGATCCCGGGACTCCAGGATCATGACCTGAGCCGAAGGCAGTCGCTTAACCAACTGAGCCACCCAGGCGCCCCAGATCCCTACATTTAACAAACAGAAGACTCTGCAGGTCTGCAACCCTGCTAACCTACGGGAGTCTGTGATTAGGAATTGAATGTTCCTTAATGAGGGGAGGCTAAGTGAGCATTTGAGGTCGAATATCACCAAATTCGGAGTCAAAGTATTTTTGGATCTCTCATCTCTCATCTTTGCCATCAGTTTTGTTTTTTTTTTTTGCCTTCTTGCCAGCCCATTAAGCCTTGTACCTTTTCTGACTGGACTGTGGTCACACCGTTTGGTCATCGGGGAGTGTTGGATAAAAATGGAAACTGATGAAGGTAAAATAAAGTAACACAGTCACGTAATTCAGCAAGTCAGAGTAGTCGAAATCTCTCCCCCAAACACCTGCCTCACTCCAGAGCGTTCAGTGTCTGGTGCCTGTAGGACCACTTGGAGACAGCAGGTGCTCCCGGCTCCCTGGGCTGCTGGCCCCTCCACCTCGGGCAGAGGGGAGTGGGCGTGACGTCTGAGCTGGTTCACCCCCCCCCCCGGCACTCCCAGGTCCTTCACCTGTGAAGTGGGGCTGGTAAGCCCAAAGGAATTTGTACCTGTAAGGCCTACGGAACAGGGCTTGGCACCTGTGGTCCCCGTGATGGTTCTTTCTCCATCTAACAAATATGTGAACACCTGTTATGCTGGGTTCTGTCCTGGGCAGAGAGATCCTTGTCCCTGGGGAGCTGACATTCCAGTGGGGAGAGGGGGCCAACAGTGCACGGAAGAAAGAATGTGGTTTATGAGAGAGTAAGGGATGCTGGGGAGAAGGAAGCAGAGCGGGCTGAGGGATGAGGGAGGGCAGGCGGTGGTGAGCGTCATGAAGGTGAGATTTGAGAAAAGATTCCACGAAGTTGAGTTAGCAAAGTACAACCTGGGAGGAACATTCCAGCCGGGCGGAGCGGCACGGAATTCAGTGTCTGTGAATCACAGGCGACTTACGTTTGAACGAGTTAACATGAAATAGACTCAGGCATGCAGTTTCTCAGCGGTACGAGCCACGTTTCAGGTGCTCGGTGAGCGCACACGTTCTTGGCTGCTGCAGTGGACAGGGCACACGTGCGGAACGTTCCCGTCTGCACGGAAGGTTTTGCTGGACAGAGCCGAGTCCGTGCCAGGGCCCAGGGATGGGCTGTGCCGGGTGTTTCAGGAGCAGCCAGGGGCCCCCGTGTAACTGGAGGGGAGCAGAAGGGCAGGTGACCCTGCTGTGTCCAAACAGACGGGCGGGGCAGGAGGCTGCGTCGGACACTTCAGGGAGAGATTGGAGTTTGCTGATTGATCGGATCCCTGGGGCGGGTGGGGGGGGTCAAGGTGGGTCCCGATGGTGCAGAGGCATTTGGCCTGAGCAGTTGCGGCACCATCAGTGGACAGGGGGAGGCTGTGTGGCTCGGCTGCGCGTGTGCGCGCCGGAGTCTGTGAGGCCGTGGGGTCACTCAGCAAGAGTCAGGGGGTGGAGGAAGTCAGCAGAGCCGACTGAGCAGGAGCTGGCGGGAGGGCGGGCAGGGCTGAGGTGGCAGACGGAGCCAGGAGGTGTCCCGGGAGCTACGGGAAGGGCTGGGGGTGCTGACTGCGGTCGCATTCTGCTGGCAGACTTGTCACGGCTGCCGGGTGCTTTTCCCGCGCGTCCAGGTTTGACTCCTGTAACATTTTGAACAACCCCAGGAGTAGAGCTGTTGTCCCATTTTGCAGATGAGGAAAGTGAGGCCCAGAGGGCTGAGGAGCTTGCCTAGGTGATACAGCTGGTCTGTGGGCCCCTGGCAGCGCGTCCTGCCTCCCGGCGCCGGGGAGCATCGAAGAGCGGGACACAGCAGCATTTGGTGGTCACCGAGTGGCTTCCCCGGCTGGAATGTGATCCTTGTGGTGAGGTCCTCCCTGGGAGCAGGGCCATGCATGCATGATGGGTTTTGTGGCTGGGGCGGCCCGCAGGACCCGGGATAAATGGGTTTTGTAGGTCAGCCCGAGAACTTGACTGCCGCTCATAATGGACTCTCTGTGCACGCCGGCTGCTGAGAACCATGTCTGATCAGAGCTGGGGACTGCCTGTTCAGAACAAACACCACTTCCTAAAATGCGGCCAAATGGCCCCGTTCCTCTGGATTTCTGCCTTCTGCGGCAAGCCGAGCCCAGGGAGGCTGGAGTGAAAGGAGCAGGTGGTACTTGCCCGCCTGCCGTGCGCAGGAGCCGCAGAGAAGAAATGGTGCTCTGAGCCCGGGAGAGACTGGCACGCTGCTTCTGGGGCCGCCTCCCTGGGCAGCCCCTGCTCTTCCCAGTGGGAGGTCCCCGGCCAGCCAGCTGCGGCCACCACTGTCCCCATCAGCGAGGCCCATCAATTTGAGCTTTGTGCCCGCCGGGACTCCTGGCCGGGAGCTGCATCCGTGCAGCCAGGGCCGCTCCTGCGGGGAGGTCGGGCAGGAACACGTCGTTCCGAGGCGCACCTTGGCAGAGAGAGGGTTACAGCCTGCACAGAGAAGGGCACCTTCTTTCCCAAGACTGATTAAGCCCTGCCTCACGGGGGAGGGAGGGGAAAGCATTACCCTGAGTCACCCTGGGCTGCTCATGACCTCAGAACCAGGGCAGCGTCTGGGCGGAAGCGAGAGGGCTGGTTTGGACCCAGGCCCTGGAGGCTGTGCCAAGTCTGCCCCAGAGGCCTAGGCCCCGCTGGAGGTGGGTGGGCAGATGGGGGTGCTCCCTGAGCACCTTCCTGTGTCCACAGAGCCATGGGGAGACCAGGCTGCCTCTCGGGGAGCGGGCTCCGGAGGCCAGATCCTCACTGGTTGGAAGGTTGAGGCCTGGCTGGGAGGGAGCAGGACCACGGGCCCCCCAAGGCGAAGGTGATTGTGACGGATCATTTTTGTCATCCCCAGCCCCACCGGGCTGGGAGCGGAAGGGAGGTTTGGACGTGTGGGCCCTGCCTGTCCAGGCAGCTGGTGGAGTGGACAGGCCTGCCCCCATCCCAAACACCTGTTGCAGGTGGCTTCCTTCAGAGTGGGAGAGCCTGGAAGTGGTCGGCTAGCTGAAAACTGTTTAAAAGCGTGTGTGAACACAGCACTCACACACTGCTTACTGGGTTTGTAACCGAGATCTGCGGCGGGTAGCGTGGACCCACAGCGCCATCTAGTGACCAGGGCGCCCCAGGCCCGTGCTTCCTTTCCTGCCGCCTGCGCCAGGGGCAAGCCTGAGCCGCAGGCCCCGGTCTGGACTTCCGCCCCTCCCGTTTTCCCACCTTCAGGTCTGCAAAGGGATGCTTACTTTGAAGAGAATAATTTGTTTTTGAAAGAATGCAAGAATGTGTTCAAACATTTTCTCTTTTAAAAAAATTTGCATTCCTAACTGGGCTGACATTTGCTTGCTGTCTGGGCCCTGCGTGACTTCGGTTGTCACCTTGTCCTTGCTTGGGGTGCATTAGGACTGCACACAGCCACCTTCGCATCTCTGAGGGGCACCGCTCTCTGCTCGCGCCTCTCTGAGTTCTTGCTTTAAGGATGGAATTCATTCAGTGGGGTCTGGGGTAAGGCCTGGGCTCCACATCTAGTGCATGGCCCATTTGGGTCTTGTTTGGCTTTGAGGACTGGGGGGCCATCCCATGCCCTACACCCAGTCCCGGTCGGATCAGCCTCTCTCAGGATGTTGCTGCATTCAGAGTATTCGGGGTCTCTCTCCCCTTGGGGGCTGGGACAGGACACTCTGTCCCCAGTGCAGACCTGCCGCCTTGTGGTTGTGGGTGTGGGCATTTCTTGCTCATCCTAGAAACTTCTTTTATGAGCGCTGCACTGTCCCGCGGCGCGATCCCCGCATGTACGTGCAGTGCTGTGCCTCTGCATGGCCTTCTTGTAAGGAGCCCGCCGCTGGATCAGAGCCCCCTTGTCCAGCATGACCTCATCCTAACGCCATTGCATCTGCAAAGACCCTGTTTCCAAGGAAGGTGTGTTCACGGGTGCCAGGGGTTAGGACTGTGACATATCTGGGCAGGGAACACAACTCCCACCAACTCCCCTCTCCCTTCTCCTAGTTCTTGGCCCTCCTCCTGGCAGCTCCTGGAATCCTGTTAGCTTCCCCCAGCCCTCCCTTCTTCCACTGGCTCTCACTCTAGAGGGCCCCTGTGGCCTGTGGCCCAGGGTCCTGCCACAAATCCGGCGTCTGCTGGTTCCACAGCCGTGTTCCCAGCTGGTGCTGAACTGCTGTGTCAGTTTTCCTCAGCGCCTCTAACGGTGTGTCCCCAGCACATCGCTCTGCTCGGAACTGCTCTGTCCTCTGGGCTTTGCGTCTGGGTGTGCAGAAAGGTCTGGAAGGGTTTGGAGTGTTGTCCTCCACTCCGCGTTCCCGGGTCTTGCTCTCGTCCCTGTGGCGGGAGAGTCAGGGCTGACCCCAGCGCTCCCTCCTGCCCGTGCCGAGGCCCTGCCCGGTGGCCAGTGTGGCTCTTGCCGTCTTTTCCTGTCTGTCTCTCTAAAGCAGGTCTGACCTGGGTGGATCCCCAGTTTTTCTTTGGTGGTTGTCCGCAGCTGAAGTCCTGGCTTTGTAGCTTGGCTCCTCTTACCCTTGGCTCCCCGCTACAGGACTGTGGATCTGCCCGGTACCTCCCCACCCTTCCCCGTGTGGCCGGAGTGGCCCCGGCCCCGCCTGACTCGGGCGCCTCTCCCACCCCGGCCTCCAGATCCCCTCCCTGTCCCTTGGCATTGCTCCGTGCATCGCAGGCGAGCAGTGATGTGTGACAGGGACCGTATCTAAGTACATCTCCCTGCTCCCTCGCCCGGCAGGTCAGCATTTGAGGTGTGTGTGGGGGGTTGCTGAGCAGGCAGGGCCGCAAACGTGGTGGCCTCTAGGCTCCGAGCAGTGACTTGGCTGGGGTCTCTACAGTGGCTGGCTGCTTGCGTCGGGCCTGGGCGTGCCCCCCCAACTCGGGCTCTTCTGGGAAGACCTCGGGGTGTGAGTGCTCTCGCAGCGCTCCAGGGGGTTGTGGTGTAGCCCGGCGTGGGACAGCTGGTGTAGGCCCTCTTTGGCTCCTAAACACAGGCTTTGGGGGGCGCCTGGACCAAGAGGCTCCCGCGGCCGGCGCGCCCGTCAGCAGCGCGGCGCTCACTGTCCTGTCCCCCCACAGGTTGGAGCAGCCGTACTTCAGTGCCAACGCCCAGTTCTTCCAGGCGCTGAGCCAGTGCTCCGCACTGCAGCGTCTCTGCCTGGTGTCGCGCAGCGGCACGCTCCAGCCCGAGGCCGTGCTGGCCTTCATGGCGCATTGCCTGCACGTCGTCGTGTGCCACATGTTCACCGGGGAGTCCCTGGCCACCTGCAAGAGCCTGCAGCAGTCCCTGCTCCGAAGGTGAGTGCCGAGGGCGGGCCGGGCGCTGGGGGCGGCCCGCCGCCTGGTGGCTGCCCCCTCGGGCTCCGCGCGGAGCCCAGCCGTACCTTCACGGACGTAATGCCTGCAGAGATGGCCTGAGAACAGACTGGCTGCCCTTCCCGCCGTGCCTCACCTCCCGGGCACTCCCTCTGCCACACGCCGATTTCTGCACGTTGAGGCGCAGAAGTACTCTCTCCATGCCCAGCTTGCTGCCCCTGCGGTACCGTTCTCCAGATGCGGGGTACCAGGACCGGTCAGCCTGCAGACCTTCGCGGTCCCTCGGCCCCGTCCCTGGACCTTTTCTGTTCCAGGGTTTGATGCAGAACCGCTCCTCACACTCGTGGTCACGGCTCCTTAGCCTTGTTCGGTCTTTGACAGTCCTCAGTCTTTCCTGGTCGTTCATGACCGTGACACTTGTGAAGAACACTGGCCGGGTGTTTGGTGGAACGTCCATGAGTTTGGACCAGAAATCCACGGAGGTGACGCCGTGTCCTCAGTGTGCTGTGCCCGGGACACAGGGTGTTGGCATGTCTTCTCATTGGTGTCTGCGTGTTTCTCGGCTGTGAAGTCACATTATTCCTTTGGCTTTTTTCTTTGAAGATTTTATTTATTTATTTGAGAGAGAGAGGGACAGAAAGTGAGTGGGAGAGAGAGGGAGAGAGAATCTGAAGCCAACTCTGAGCTTTGAGCACAGTCGTGGGGCTCGATCCCACGACTGCAAAATCACGACCTGAGCCGAAACCAGGAGTCGGACGCCCAACCAACTGAGCCACCCAGGCGCCCCCATTTTTCCTTTTCTAATTAACAAGCATCTTGTGGAGAGACACTTTGTGAGAGTCTGCAAATACCCTTTTCTGTCGGAGTTTTATCTGCTGATTTTTGCGTCCATCGATGGATCTTGCCAGTGACAGTTGTTACTTTGATATTTGGCTAATGACTGTTTTCAGTTTCTTTCATTCCTCCTAGATTTGTTACTGGGAACTGTGCTCTTTGAAGGAACCTGTCCCTTCTCCACATTTACTTACTTAACATTTCTTTATGTTAGTACAGACTCATGGATGTTTATCTTATTCAGTGGGTTTTCATCATGCTCCCACTGTTCATGTGGTTGCACAGATTGTTCCAGATTTGGCCGTGGGGGTGTTCTTTCAGACTGGGTCCTGTGCCCTTGAAACATGCCCCTTCCTCTTCTGAGCACTTCCTTCCTTCCTGTCACCATCACACATTCCAGTCCCAGGCCTGAAACCAACCATTTCTTCGTGGAGCCTGGCTCCTTTTATTGGAGGGTGGAATTAGAAACCGAGGTTGGGTGTTGGGTGTGCTCACTGGGCTGGGGTGTCATTGCCTCCAGGCCCCCTCATGGACAGAGCGGGAAGTTCATCTGCGTGTGTTCTTACACACACACGCACACACACCCACACCCACACCTGTACTTCCTTATCACCCGTTTGCATCGACATTAAAAACGAGTTCATACTGATGCCTTGCATCCCAGCCCAGTATCCCAGAGTTCCTGCAGGCTCCCCCTCCTTCCTCATGACTTACCCGCCGTCGGTGAACAGCCTGGCTGTCACCATCCACAGTGTGTTTGCTGGTTCATTCCGCTCTAGTGCGCACACGTAAGGCAGTTTTGAAAACCCAGCTCACTGCCTGGAGGGTAGTATGTGTTCACGCTCTTGCCCGATGCTTGTGGTATCCTGCCCTCCAGAGTTACCCAGGATCGTTCTGTGCTTCCCACCCCCTTCAGTGTGGTTGCGTCGCTTGTTTGTAATGCAGTCAGGTTCCCTTATTACTGCATTATATTGCATTGGGGATTCACACCACGTCCTGGTAGGTTTGATTTGTCCGGGGTTTTGGTATGTGAAGCCTCGCTGTGACTCAGAGTCGGTTCTCTATCAAGTGGCGCCCTTGGAGAAGTGCCGCCCCGTGTCCCCTTCCCTCCACCTCGCCGCCCCTGCAGACAGGTGGTCTTGTCACTTCTTGGTTATTCTTTCCGTATTTTTTTGCACAAATGAACGGATAGTATTTTCTATTTATTTTTTTTTAATTTTTTTTATTTTTAAAGATTTTATTTATTTATTTGACAGAGAGAGAGC